TGTGGATAGATACGTTAGAGGTGGAGGTGAGGAGGAGGAGGAGGGAGAGAAAAGGGGCACACTGACTGCTGGGTGTGATGTAACCCTGGAGTGTAATGTTGTAAACGATGAAGGAGGGGAGGGAGGTGGATGGCTGCTGGGAGCGAATGGAGAGGATTGTTTTTCTTGGAGATCAGAGCTTGAATATAGACAAACGTTGTGTGCGTCGGCAGCGCTCTCAACTCCTAAAACTGAATCATTTGGTGCTAAGGCTACATCGACACTCTTACATTTTCATTTGAAAACACATCAACTCTACTTCAGAGTTTCAGAACTGTTAAAACTGAGAAGTTTTAAAATTCTTGGGCTGCGTTTTTCATCTGAGTGGACAGAAACAGAGATGTTTGGAAATTATGACACTTGCTACAGCTGATGGCGTCTTTTTCGGTCGCAACGTAGCCTTCGCTGATTTGTCAACTGGATAATCAAATACAGGCTTTGCTGATCCTGTTGTCTTTCATAACAGCTGTTGTGCTGTGAATTTCAGGATTTTATAAGACGAGCTATGACAATTCTGCAACTAACAACCAAATGCTTCCTATTTAGTGGTCATGTGATTGCATTTTTAAGTGTGTTAGTATGGACGGGGATTTAAACTGATACGGAGCCAAAACACTTCTCTGTACAGAGATCGTTTTAATTGAAAACATAATAGCATGAAGTTGTAGAAACAGGGGAGGAAAAAACTCTCTTTCTCGTTCTTTAAGTTTCTTAGTCTATAAAGTAGAGCTAAATGTATTTGGCCAGTTTTTAATATGCAATGATTTCATGTCGAGCACCAACTGAAAGCTGAATTTCCAAATGAAAGCTGAGTTGGACTGTGAATATAATAATCTGGTTGTCCACACTTTGTCTCCACTGTGATGAGACAAAGAGCTACACAGGGTGACCAGTTGTGCAGGCTTTCAGTGTTGTTCACTGTGTTTTCACAGCTCCCTGCTGAGCTTGATGCAAGTCAGTGTAAAATATTGCAGCTGTTTTGCCCGTTGCCCTCCCCTCCCTTTCTCCACCCCCCTTTCTCCCTTTCAAAGAATTTTCATTTGAATGAAAACCCTGCCTCAGTGTTTTGTTCCGCTCAGAGGGGGGAGGGGTCCGATTGGTCAGAATCCCTTTCGAGGTGAACCAATGCGTGCACACCTCCCGCCTACCACCCCGCCCCCGTGCCCCACTGAGGCTCCTGGCCTGACGTGCGATTGGCCGGCTGGGAGGAGCCAGACGCGATATTAAAGCCTGTCCCGTCTGCTCCACTTCAGTGTTGAAGAGAGTCCGTCTGTCAGCCACAGGACAGTGTGTGTGTGAGTGTGTGTGAGAGAGGGAGTGTGTGTGTGTTTCAGTGTGAGTGGATGTTTTTATTCATGAGAGGCGGACGACAGGAGAGTTCTACCGTTATCTTACTTGGACTTCCATCTGTTTTGAACTCTTTCCAGGACTGTGAGGCTCTGCTGCTGAGTTACCGGCTGGCTTTTTGTGCGTGACCACAGCTGGACAGACAGACGGAGGCTAAACAGACATCGTGTCGGGGATCATAAAGGCTGTCGTGTTGCCGGGATCGTTGCTGGCTGATCTACCAGACCTGTATATTAGATAAAGAGCTCCCATCAGATCAGCTGTACTGTGGCTGACCGGTGACCCCGATCCACAGCCTAACCCCCTTCTGGGTCACCGCTGAGCTAACAGAGGTGGTCTGGCCGGACCTGATGTGGAATTTGACCCCGACTGACCCTGTCCCACAACTAGCCTTTCACTGAGCCCGGATTTGGAAAAAGGAATAAAAGACAGGGGCGACTGAGAAGAAAGGAGGAAGAAAGAGAGAGAAGCGAGAGCAGCAGCAGCGGCAGCAGCACAGTGACCGGTAAGGAAGTTAAAGGGGGTCTCTGGGAGTGAGGGTGCAAGGCTGGGAGGAGGGGGAGGAGAGTGGGAAGAAAAGGGAGAGTACAAAAGAGCTCTTTTCTTAAGCTCAGAGAGGACATGTGGGAGCTCTAAAAGGATGTTCGTGGACCATTAAAGCCCCACTCTCACCCACTTCTCCAGTTTATCACACCTCATTTTTACTATATTCTGGTTGTCACATTCAAGCTAGAAAACACTTTAGTTTACATTTAACACAATAACCATTATCTTATTCCTTCCCACAGCTCATAATCTCAGCTCACTGTGCCTTTCTTTTCCTTGTGAATCAAAAACATTTTGACTGAAAATCTTTCCTTTCTCTCCGTCAGATCCTCCAGCATGCCGGTTGAAACGCTGCGGCCTTCAGACGGCCGTTTAACCGGAGTTCCCTTCACCTCTGCCATGCCCTTCAGGATACTTAACAAGGGCCCGGATTACTTCCGTCGCCAGGCTGAGCCCGGGGCCCGTAAACTGAGTGCGGTGGAGCGCCTGGAGGCCGACAAGGCAAAGTACGTTAAGAGCCAGCAGGTGGCCCTCACCCGTCAGGCTCCTATCAAACCACCAATTATCCGCAAGCCCCTCGTCCCTCCGGGAATGATGTTTCAGTGCCAGATCAGCACCCCTCCAGCCCGCAAATTTCCCCGCTGCCCAGTGGATTTGGAAAACAGAGGAGGAAGAGAGGGACCAGGAGGGAGAAGAGGACCTGCTCTTAACTTGGATATTCTGAATAATCTAATCAATGATGTGTGTGATGGACCATTGCCCAGTTCCCAGTCTTCTTCCTCTACCTCCCCCTCCTCATCATCTCCTTCATCAGGAGCTAAGAGCATCGGCAGCAGCCTGTCAGCAGAACAGGAGAGGAGCAACAGGCTCCTCAACAACCTGAAACCTTTGAATCACGGCAACACCAACTCTTCATCCAACTCCTCCTGCACTTCCTCACCGCTCAGTAACAACCTCCGTGCCCCTCCAGCAGAACTCACCCGACGTCCACCCCCGATTCCGGCACGAGCGCCACGCATTGGGGTTCCAGTGCCCTATAGCTCCCCAAACTCAGTGACAGTACGCAGGGTGGATGTTCGGCCTCAGGCAGAGATAAGGAAGCCCCAGAGGGCCCAGCTGCAGATCAGGCCCAGACAGACTCCGCAAGGTCAAGTTGCACACCCCCAAGTTCCACCCCCGCCCCCACCCACTCACAACCAACCCCAACCTCACACACAGCAGAGCACCCCCCTACAAACTCTGCCCTCCCCTCCCGCCTATCTGCCACCCAGTCCCATGCTGGTTCGAGCGGGCATGATCCCGCCAGCCTCCCCCGCTTTCACCCGTATATCAAACAGCAGCTCCAAGGGGTCAGCCCGTAAGCACCCATCCTTGCACCGCTCCAAATCAGACCTGAGTGACCGTTATTCTCGCGCAACAGCCGACCTAGAGCGATTCTTCAACTACTGCGGGCTGGACCCGGAAGAGGTGGAGGTGATGGGCGGAGTGGAGCGCTTCACAAGAGCCAACTCAGACATTGTTTCCATCTCCAAGCTCCGCAGCGTCAGCACGCCCAGCTCGGAGTGCGGAGATGAGGCTGACCGGGCGAGGGAGGACGAGAGAGGCGAGGGCGATGAGGATGGACCCGCCAGAGCCAATGAACGGGTCCCCTACGGCATCTCTGTCATTGAGAGGAACGCTCGAGTCATCAAGTGGCTATATGGCATCCGTCAGGCCCGAGACACTAACAACGCCGTCTCTAACGTATAGACTAACGAGGACTTGAAGGAACTGAAATAAGCAAACAGGGAAGCAGAACTTTTTGTATGTATACACACGTCTTTTTATCTGGGCTGCAAGTCAGGACTGCCTCCCTGCAAGACTCGATGGACCGTACATTTCCTTTTTCCTTCACTTGATCTTGTATAGCAATACTGGTATACGAAAGCAATAATAGACTGGTATAAAAGACGATGGTGAGGATGAAGCCAGGTGATGTTTGCAATTGTTCCTCATGTAAAGGTACTTAATGCGTGTGTGTATGTGTATGTGTGCGTGTGCGTGTGTGTGTGTGTGTAACAGAGAGCTTGGCAGCACYAAGACAAACTGGAAATTAGCCACACACAGTGTGGTGACTGTCCAAGGAGCCAGGAAGAGAACCACGTTGATACTGTGAAACGTCACAAGAAAAGCTTCCATAAACACATTTGTATTTTTTAAAAACCCTTTTGGCTGTTAGACTGTTATTATTATACACATTTTTGTCCGCATGTGAGTGAAACATTTGTACACAATTTACTTTAGGGTCCATCATCTCAAACAAAGCACATGTATTGCTCTCACACAGGTTGTCACCTCACGGCACAGATGTACATTCAGGTCATTTACAGTAAACGTGAGCAGCTGCAGTTCGTGGAATCTGTATATCTGACCGTAACATTTCTCTAGATGTGTGTTTGCATCTGAAACATGGTTTTGTGTTTTGGATGAAGCTGCGCTGGTGCAGCGAGAGAAATCTGTTTACTGCGTACTGTATGTCTTAGCACGGATGAGAGAGCAAGTCATATGATGAGGGATGAACTCATAAGTGGATGGTTGAAGTAAGTGTAGCATGAAAAGTTATTTTGCCTCCAGAGAAATAATCAAAGGATGGCTAAAAGGAAGGCTGAAGAATATACTCATGGATTAAAAAGAAAAAGATATCGATGGTGTATAAACATGTCTGTTGTTCTGAAAGTGTCTCAGGAAGATGTACTTGGCATACTAATGAAAATGGACCAATATTTATTTGAAAAATGTAATTTAACGTATTTTTTAATATTGGACGACTGTGTACAGTCTTTTTTGTGCTCTTAAGTGCAATCCGATAAAATCTACAGTGCAGTATATGTAGGGTCACATTGAAACACAAGCTAATACAGGCACCAGTCACAAGTGTGAATGTTGTAAATGGGGGAATGCTACGTGTAACAAGTTCCCTGCTGCTCCGTGGGGAGCACTACAGAAAGTGAGACTGTAGTGCTTATTTGACTTCCTGTTTGTCGTGGTGGGAGCAAGAGAAGAGGCCTGTTCTCCCTGCGCAAGCTCTCCACCCTCTGCATCCAGCTGCTTTGAGCTTTTCCTTCTCCGTACCTGCAGCGTACAGGGGCAGCCGGATCAGAGCGGTGGAGAACAGCGACAGCAGTGATGAAGTGTGCTGTTGAATCTGGCACTGGATGCCCAAAGAGTCTACAAGTGAAGAAAATGCTTTACCATGGTTGTATTCTAAACAGTTAATAAAAAATGTTCAAGTATGATCACTGTTTTCCTTCTTTGATGATGACTGTGAACAAGATATGCTGCTCCTCTGGTTTCCTCAGTGTTCTGGGATCATGTGAAGTGCTGCTGCCAAGACCTTGGTTGATAATCTGAAATCTGGTGCAGGTCCAGTTCTGCACTGGCAGGTGTTCGGCCCATCTGATCTCATTTCAGCATCAATAATTGAAGCAGAGCACTTTTCTCCATGCTCTCCTGGGTGGTGATTGTTTACTCTGACCGCGTTCCACATCATCTCAGACGGGAAACCGTGGACACGCACACGATCTCTCGATCCAGTCTTGCACTCGCACTCTTTCATTAAGTCTTTCACAAGGAAATGTTGTGTTATTGTGTGCCACAGACTGCAGTCTGGTGGGCTGTTGTGATGACCCCACCCTGTTGCAGAGCTCTGGACCCTCTTTTAAGAGAGCAGCCGCCCAATAAAATGCTCTGTAGGAGGGACGCAGTGTAAAATGAGTGAGTGTGAAGGGGTCTGCACTATAAATGTATCCATTCACAGCACTATGTGTTAGCACAATCATGAAAATATGAAGGGGTCTAAAAGAATATACTCCACTCAACGCAGTATCTCAATATTGTGCACAAGGAGTTTTGCAGCTTACACAGATCCACAGATACAGGTTATGAAGTTGATGGTGCTGCAGCAGTGGACCATTTTTATTAATCTGGTATTTAATTTTATATTTTCCAAGTGTCTTTAATGTGATACGCCAGCTATTGTTAAAATAAAGAAATAGAAGAGTCTAGATCTAGAGGTCTGAGACTGTGGGACTCCCCTCAGACAAAGCTAGGGGAAAGAGCTGCCCCCCTCACATGACCTTACGAGTTCATTTCTGGATGCCCATGTGATCACGATGATGAACACAGAGCCTAATATGGCTGTTTGTTATTTCAGACTCCACCAGACGCATACATATCTGTCCTAATGCATTTGTTAGGTGTGTGGGAGAAAAATGAAGCATCTCTTTGACCAGATCACTCACATTTAGGGTTTTCTGTGGGATCCCCTTTAATAGAATAATGCAAATACATGTAGTATTTCACCACCAGTCCCCCTCCGGAGGCCTGCATCCCACTTTGAAAACATCTGGACTAAATCAAAGCAGCAGAGGCCGAAATCTCTGCATCCTATGTTTCCCATGATACAACTTGCTTGACGTGTCTCATCCTATGAGCACTCCACAACTTAACCCCACTCCAAGGATCAAACAGCTCGTAGTGTCTTGAGTTCCACAAACAGCTGGACTGTGGCTCCTTCAGGGCCTGGGACCACTCGCTCGTCAGGCGTCTCAGAAACGCCATCTCCTCCAGGATGTGGCCGTGATTTACCGCTCTCACAATCGAATGGTTTTGAGCATGTGGGTGGCTGGAGGATTGGAGACGTGTGGTGGAGAGCGTGCCGTTGAAAGTGATAAATATTGCTGCCGGCAGCCCGGGCCTGGGCATCATGACAGCAGCCGCCTGATCTCCGTGGCTCCTCTGATTAACAGCCAGCAACACTGAGGGGAGAGGGAGACGTGGAGAGCTCCACAAACACTAGTTTAAAGGACCGGGAGAGGACGAGACAGGAAGTCAGTGAGGGAGGTGGAAATGGAGAGAAGAGACACGTAACTCGACTCTAATGTGATGGGCAGTGTGTCAGCTCACCAAATAAAAGTGATACGTTTTGTCACTGTTGTCATTTTACAAAGATTGTAAGTTAATATTTCGTGTCTATCTAAATTTTGTTATAATAAAAAAATGCCCAAAATTTGATAATATTTTAAGCAAAACGCATTTAAGTAAAAATCCAGACAGAGATAGGAGAAATGCTTAATTCATTATTTTTCATTGAAAAGTTGACAGTGCGGTCATTGACATGAGACATAAGCCGACTTCAGACACGACCTGTGGGTAAAGTCCAGAGAGTTGAGTCTGGAGGTTACCCTGAGTTTGACTGTCACACATGCACAACACAAAATCCTCCACATTATTAAGGCGAGAGGTGGAGCAGCAGGTGCATTAGGTGTTTTATCCTGGACGGACAGAAACAGAGTTGTTTAGAAACGATGACATAGACACACACAACCACTTGCTGACTGCGTCTCTTCGGTCACGACGTATAGCTTCGCTAATTCATCAGGTTTCCAGAAGAAAACAACCAGCATTAGCCTCGGCTCCCACTTTTGACAATCCTGCAACTAGCAACCAAATCCTTCCTGTTTACACAGGCACGCACATGCCCAGTGCATGTGAGTGTTCATTTGGTTGGCATTTTCAGGTGTGTTACCATGGATGGGGATTTAAACTGATACAGAGTCGAAACGCTTGAGTGGACAGAGATCGTTTGAGTTTGAAAATGACATTAGTAGTATGCATGTTGCTTGTACGTATCTTACACACTGTGTGAATAACCCTGTTTCTAACCTTTCTATATCCAGGCTGGTACCACGTTTAAATCCCCTTCACACAGAAAACAACAACAATGACCTATGAGCTGAAAATGACAAGTTTTAATGAGATGCAAATGTTCTCCCTGACACTTCTTTGCAGGGCTAACATCTCTGGATCCTTGGGTTAATGCTCCCAATAACGATTGTGATTGGTTGAAGGAAATACAAGCATGCCAGAGCATTTTGTTTCCCTGCAGCAGAATGATGACGGTTGCAGCAGAGCTCTCTCCACTACACTAACTCTGGCTATGTGAGATAATACGTGTCTTAACCACCAGCCTGTGGGACGCCAAAGGAAAACGATAACATTTTAGCAGACTGGAGTCTTTATAGTGCTGACGTATTGAAAAGTAAACTTCAGTTAATCATTTTCTTTCCCACAAATGTCGAGCGAAAACTGTGGATTCGGACACAGAAACTGTGTAAAATACAGGCAGAGATCGCACGTTTCATTCCAAGCTGTCACTGTCTTTATATCATCTCACATCAGTTCCTGAACGAGTTCTGTGAAACTTACATAACTAACTAGTAGGCCTTGCACAACAATTCCTTTGTTTTTCATCCCCTGATAGTCTCATCGTTACATAACAGAGTGGACACCTCCTGACTTGCTCCCTGGGGTGACGTGAAGAGTCGAAAAGGCTAAATGCTTCAGCTTTGGAGAAGGAACACGTGTCCCGGGAGGATAAGATGTCTCCGCCTGCTGCGGTCTCCCTGTGGACAGATGAGGAAAACACGCCAAGAACCGTCTCTGTGTCATCTGCATGCACACTCTCTCTCTCTCTCTCTCTCTCTCTGTCGCTCCCTACAGAGGCTGACCATATGTCCATATTTACTGAGAGATCAGCTGGGCTTTGGCATTCTGTCAGAATACACACACACACACACACTTTGCCTGTGCATGCTTTGTTGCATGTCTCGATCTTGCTGCTGCAGTTATTGCTCTGAGTGTGTGTTTGTGTGTGTGCATGATTTTTAAAGTGCTGACATGCAGAATGTTTTTTTTTGGGGATGAAAACTCGTGCCAGTTTAGAATACGTTTTTAGTTCCAGCATGTCGGTGGTGTAGGTGTGTGCGTGTGTCTGTGTGTGAGAGACGGGGGTGCTATGTTAGAGGCTGTATATTGCTTGATCCCAGTAGTGCCACTAATGTATGTCAACGCTTGATACAGTCATTCTGCACGGCCTCAGTGGAGGGAGTGATAAGCTGATTAAGGCGCCGGGGCAGATGGGATCGCTGTGTTTTTGACTATATTTGTGTGTGTGTGTGTGTGTGTGTGTGTGTGCACGTCTTTCACTGGGACCTACTGTATATCCTGTGGGAAAACAAAACTGCGCTG